CATTCAGAAGCAGGTTGGTGTGATATCAAGAAGGCTGTGGAAACACCAGTGATATCGGCTAGTAAGGTAAACCATAAGGGTAGGATGAAGCCGTGGATTTCAGTCGCATCCACGGAACTGATGGATGCTCGAAAACGCATCCCACCTGACTCTGAGCATGATGAAGAGCGTAGTCAGCTTAGGCACAGACTTATAAAAAGTCTGCGTAACGACCGCGAACAGTGGTGGGTGGCGAAAGCAAAAGCGATGGAAAAGGCAGCGGCGATAGGCAACAGTAGACAACTTTTCCGCCTTATTAAAGAAACTGGTATTAAGAACCCGAATGTGAGTGAGACTATCTCGGAAAAGGATGGTCTTATTATCCATTCTCAATCTAGGAGACTGGATCGATGGGCAGAACACTTTAGGGATCAGTTCAACTGGCCACGAGCCACTCTTCGGTTACCCACGATCTCCAGTCATCCTGAATGGCAAATCGACCTAAGTCCCCCTAGTCTTAACGACGTTGAGAAAGCGTTAGGAAATCTGAAACGAGGACGAGCTGCAGGTCCTGATAGACTGACCCCTGAGATATTTAAGGATGGTGGTCCAGTTTTAGCAGCTAGATTGACTGAGATCTTAGGTGGAATCTGGGAACTGGACGTAATCCCATCCGACTGGTCTCAATCACTGATTGTCCCAATCTATAAGAAAGGACAAAAGTCTTCTTGTGACAATCACAGGGGAATAAGTCTAACTAATATAGTATCTAAAATACTGGCCTCAATAATACTTCGACGCTTAACGAAAGCTCGTGAAGAGCAGACTCGAGAAAACCAGCCTGGTTTTCGACCTGGACGTGGCTGTATAGACTACGTCTTCACACTCAGACAGGTCCTGGAACATAGACACACATTTAGGCGTCCCACAATAGTTGTTTTCCTAGACCTTAAGGCGGCATTTGACTCTGTTGATCGTAAGGCTCTGTGGCAGTGTCTGTCATTGAGAGGTGTACCAAAGAAGTACATTAACCTTATACAAGCTCTTTACTCGAACACCACTGGTCGAGTGAGAGCTTATGGCGAATTGTCACCGGAAATCTTTTCTTCAAGTGGTGTCCGTCAGGGATGTCCACTTTCTCCATTCTTGTTTAATTTTATCATAGACATGCTCCTAGACAAAACATTATCCTCGTCTGAATTTTCAGGAGTAGACCTGCTACCGGGTGGCTCGCTTATTGACTTAGAATATGCCGATTACATAGTCCTACTTGGTGAAGATGCTGACAAAATGCAGCGTCTTCTGACTACCCTAAGCAACAATGCAAGCATGTTCGGGATGCGGCTCTCCCCGTCGAAATGCAAAATGTTGCTTCAAGACTGGGTTGCATCGGCACCTGAACTAGTGATAGGGAGTGAAGTAGTCGAACGTGTAGACCGCTTCACTTATCTTGGGAGTCTCATTAGCGCTGATAGCCTAGTGACTGACAAAATCTCAGCTCGGATACAGAAAGCTCGATTGGCTTTCGCCAGCATGCGTCACTTATGACGTAGGCGAGATATCCGTTTGCTGACTAAAGGACGAGTGTACTGCACAGTGATTCGCACCGTCTTACTTTATGGCTGTGAAACATGGCCAGTGAGAGTAGAAGATATTCGTAGGTTACTGGTTTTCGATCATAGGTGTCTTAGAAGCATTGCTCGTATATCGTGGGACACCCAAGTGAGCAATGCTGTTATTAGGAAACGGGTGCTAGGTAAGGATGGCAGATCAATCGATAAAGTATTGAAACTTCACCAGTTGAGGTGGTTGGGACATGTGTTGCGTATGTCGAACCACCGACTGCCTCGTCGAGCCTTGTTTTGTAGTATAGGAATAGGTTGGAAGAAAGCTAGGGGTGGCCAAACCAATACATGACAGAAATCCATGAAGTCATTGACAAGTGGACTGAGCCATGTCGGTAGTTGTCGACTACCTGGTTGGGGTCCGCGAGATGATAATAATCGATGGTTAGAGACCTTGATTGACATGGCTCAAAATCGTTCGCAATGGCGTCGGTGCATTTATTCTTTGTGTTCTCTCGAACCCTAATCTTCTGGATTCTTCAACACCTCTAGTTTTTACTTTCTAAACTTTTCCCAGTGAATCATACTTGTTGAATAATATCTTCTAATCCTAACCTCTCTGATTACTTCTAATACCTTTACTACCTCCTCTACTATTGGATTTGAATTGACGATTACATCTCTGTGTGCCAGTGTGGTATGGCAACATGAACTGATGTACTTACGTACGAAGTTCTACGTTGCATCTGACTGACTGACTGAGTTAAACTCTTTGACTATTTATTCAACATTTTACTCCCACTGTGTTGCGTTCTGATATGTAGGAGATTTGGGAATAGCATTTGGGTCGTACTGGGGTATTTGAATTGAACGCCGCTAGGACTGAATAGCTATACGTAGCAGCATTATAACAGTGTGCTAATGTGATATGACAACATGAACTAATGTATGTACGTGCGTACAAACTTCGACGTTGTTATTGATTGATGCTGTTGTTGTTGTCGATATTTGTCGACTGATTGATTGATTGATTAACCCAATGCAATAAAACATTGAATAAATAGTCAAAGCGTTTTAACTTCTAATCATTAGATTACAGGTTTAAACTGTACGTACACTATAATAGTACTAGTTCTAGCCTAGTGTGATCTAAAATAGGGCAGTACATTAATCTTTACATTGGTAAATGAGTTGTATTATTATTAGTTGTTGTAACGGTTGCTTAAGATAATTCCCCCCAGTTACAGTATGGTGAAGTACCACATTTCGATTGTATGTCAAACCAATCAGGTTGATTGAATCCAATCAGATCTGCGAGACAATATGGGCGGTGGGCAAACCAAAAAATGGCACAAACCCATGAAGTCGCGAACAACTGCACTGAGCCATGTTAGTAGGTGTGTGTAGACTGATTACATGGTTGGGGTCCACGAGACAATAGTAACCGATGGTTAGAGACTTTTTGAATAAAATGACTCAAAATTGTTTGGAATAGCTCAGGTTCATTCATTGTGTTCTCGCAAATCCCTAGTCTTCTGAATTCCTCATCATCTCTAGCTTTCTCTTTCTTAAGCTGTCTAACTGAATTATACTTCTTGAGTAATATCTTCGAACCCTACTATCTTCGATTACGGCTAATACTGCTGTAGTGAAGGAGAACACCGGTGAGGGCAACCGAATTGTATTTATCTCAAAATTACAGAGTTAATTGGTAAAATAGAAAAACCATATCCTAACCGTTAGTTTGCAAATCTTCAATCCATTGTCTGACATTTCACTTATTCATGCGTTTCATACAAATTCCATTGTGTTCTAACTCTTCCTTTCTTGATCTTCCCCCATCTTCTGCTGCCAGACATTACGTTTACACTCGCGTCATATACTACTTATAAGTAGCGCACACCACACTGCTACTACCACCTCTACTACTATGAGATTTGAACTGACAATTCCATTTCTCCGTGCTAATGTGGTATGACAACTGTGAATTTCCATCATTTCAAATAAATTATGCAATAAGAAACTAGTTACTAATGAGTAGTATTTTTATAGTACATAAAACTTGTCTATTGTTAAATACTACCTAGATCTGAATCTAAGACTAGATCTTTCACTGTGTGTGTGTGAGAGAGAGGGCAATTGTCTAACAACAGATCACTCTTCGCTGTCGTGCCATTGTGTATTGCGAAATTGAAACTGTCATATTTGTGTTTAATTGAGTTTCAATGAGATGATGAATCGATCACCTGAATCACTGAATAGCTATTTCGTCCTGGTGTTGAACTTATACGCTACTCGCTACAAGGGAATAAGATCCAAGACCTTCAGTCTCGATCGCGAACACCTAACTTCTAGATCACTGAGCCGACATCCAACAGTGTTAATATCTAACTTCAATTAATCCAGGATATTGCGCGACCTGATTCATTGTCTTCGGTGGGTGACTCGTGCTGTTACGGGTATGAGGGTGATTGTCACTTCCCGGCTGCCCACACCGTGGAAGGTTGTTTCTTGAAGGGACCTGAAAAGAAAGGCAGATTATCTTTAGTCTTAGAGACCTGAGTGCGTGACTGCAGAGCCCAGGGGACAACTGCTTGAGGCCGGTCACGCACGGCCTTTTGATGAAAGGTTTGTAGAGTATTAGCTCCGCTATTAAAATTCCTTAGTGGGCACCGTTACCAACGGAGACGGAAATCCGATAGATAGGGTGAAGTGTGACATTTTTAGGGTCGACCTTTTCTAACCCTTCCTTGTTTATGAGAAGGCAGCATCGCTGCAGATGCTGGTTGTCCGAGGGAAACACCTTACTGCTATCACCCCTCTGCAGTCATCAGTACGACTTCGCCCTCAGACGTTGAGTAGCTGCTTTTAGTCTCACCGTTCTCCATTTGACCTGTCTGGCATGGTAGAACCTTGAGGAACATATGTTCTAGCCAGTTTTGCTCGGCTGGGTCATGACGATAGACAAGCCCGACCACCACGTCAAAGTAGCAGCTACGGTCGGGTCGGTGGGTGACTGACTGATTCACACTCGACACGGTTGAACACCATTAATCAGAACTTTTCAGGAGAACTTTGAAAATTTCTTCATGAAGCTAGTCAATAATGAGTCGATTGACTGAAGTTAAACGTTTACGCTATTGGATGCTGGCTCAGTAGTCAAGATGTTAAACATTCGGGCACGAGACCGAAGGTCCTAAATTCGATGCCCGTGAGTGTAGGTCGTGGAAGTGCATTGCCACTGAGGAGTCCCATACTAGGATGAAACAGCTGTCCAGTGGTTCGAGTTTTTTGATTATTTTCTAACATTGATCGATTCATGATTTCAAAAAGTAACTCAACAATCTCCACAACCCCATATTATGATATTCTGGTTTGGTTTTAATACATATTTCAACTCTTAGAACTAACCATGTGTCATCATCATCATCATCAGCAACAACAACAATGAACTCAATGAATCATTCTGCATCACATACATCATTGAATGAATTATGCGCTGAACTACAATTAAATTGGCATGTGCATAGTACTCGTGTAACATCGAATTTAAATGATGTTGCTATGATATTAAATGCAATTACAAGATCATTAGCTGAGAGAACATTTAAGTAAGTTAGTTTCTTTTCAATACTGTACTGTGCATTCTTGTTTGTACACGAATAAATCTCATGTCATCATATTATTTTTTGGTGTAATCGCTCGATATATGTATAGTAAACTATTGACCTACAACAGAATAGTTGGATTGTGGTTAACAGTGGCATTTAAGATCTGTTTTGCCATTTTATTTGGCACTCGTCAGCTGAATATGCGTACATCTTAGTGTTTATATCTGCATACAAACTGATAACATATAAGAGTTTCACTGATTGATACATTGAGATGTTAGGTCCTAATAACCACTAACCTATCCTCCTATGGGTGTTTTTTTACCCTTTCCATTCGTTTTATTTTGTGAACCGTTTTATACTACTTATTAATATTTAGTAAACAATCTTTATTAATATAATTTTTGCTGAACGTTTGATGTGTGACACACGTTTATTTGTAGTCACTTGTAGTCATTTACAAGTGCACTGATTCATGTTGGCACGTGTAGACTACCTGGTTGGGGTCCTCGAGATAATAGTAATCGATGGTTAGAGACCTTGAGAGACATGGTTAAATTCGTTTGCATCCATTGTTTGTGTTCTCTCAACTTCTAACCTTCTGAACTCCTTATCACCTTTACCTTTCTCTTTGTAAGTTAATTTCACTAAATATTCTATGTACTACATAAATAATTCGATTTTTGTTTGCGTTGAGTTACTGCTTGGGTTCCCAACCCAAACCAGGTAGTTTTCTTAAGGAGCCACTCCTTGAGTCTTTGCCTTATAGGTCTTTGCTCCCTCAGGATCCTGATGCCTAAATAGACCACTGGTTTGAACTTAGGGTTTTCTGAGTCTCCTAGGCGGATCCTCAGACAGACATAATGTCCGTACATTAAATAATGCTCCAACATGTAGTTTAGAACGGGATTTAAGGAAACAAGGAACGACGTTTCATGAACTCACATCGTTTGCATTAGCGGTGCAGTGAGCTGAAGGAATGCGACTAGAGTTAGTCGTAGAGATAAGATAGATATTAGGGGGTGTAAGAAGAACTTGATTTTGACCAATTTGGTCTCTTGTGCTGTTACAGGTATGAGGGCGGTTATCACTCCTCGAATCCTCCATACGCACCAACCCGTTTTAAGCCTCCACTGCGCATTCGCTTTTCGTCTTCTCGATTTCGTAAACATCACTGTTTCCATGCGAAGTCAGTAAATGAAACTTTCCTTATATTAGCTATATACGCGTGGCCATGTGAGGGCATTTGAATAAGGAGAGTGGATTCTCTCTACTCTCGACCGTACCAGGATATTTAGGGGCTTGTACTAAGTTAAAAAGCATAAATCATTGGTTCTCCTAGCTAAGTGATATAATTTATGGTCAAAAATCTCTAGAGTTTTAAATTTCAATAAAAATAACTAGTCATCCATTCATCAGTTTATTTTAGTTTTAGTTCTTCGTAAAACAATTAGCTCAGTGATGAGCAAAGCATTTCATTTTCAGTCACTGTATCCCAGGTGTTGGTTTACTTACTTACGCCTGGTACCCCTAATGGAGCAAAGGCTGCTAACCACTGAATTGTTTTTCCTGGTTCGCGTTTTTTTAACAAGTTGGTTTTCTAGCGGGATAGGGTCGCTCACCACCATACCCAACTCTCCTCCTTTTATCCGAGTTTGCAACCAACAGAGGTTATGACTTACTGAATAATATTACTAATGTACTCGTTGTGTGTGTGTGTGTGCGTGATTCGTTGCTACTAAGCACACAAAAACCCTACAACCTCATTAGTGAGTTCATCTTTTACATAAACAACTTATCTTTCTGTATTTTTTTCTTTACAGGCAAGGACGTTTAGAACAAGATGAAGGATTAACATTTCTAACAAATACTATACATAAAGGTTTAAGTGGTTGTGCTTCACGTGGTCGTGGTCCTGGTAAAGCACCAATTATAAATAATATTAACAACAGTAATAATTCTAACACACTAACTACTGTACAAGAACAAACTTCACATTTATGGTCTAATCGTGTATGGCTTGCACAATTAGGTCAATGGCGTGGATTAACCGGTGAAATTGCACATGCAATCACTTTAATTTATCCAACTGCTCGATCATTTTATACTGCATGTCAGTTAGCTGGAATTCAATCAAGTAAGTATGTAAGTATATATCAATCAGAATTTTGAGGCGCTCGCCTACAATGCCGAAAGTCCCGGGTTCGAATCCTGCGAGAGTCCTGCAAGAGTCGTGGATGCGCACTGCCACTGATGAGTCCCATATCAGGACGAAATAGTTAAGGTAGTTAGTAGTGGCTACAAAACTAAATCACGGCACAAATGCATGAAGTCAATGACAAATAAGTGTGGATTGAGTCATGTTAGTAAGTGTCGACTACCACCACCTGGTTAGGGTCGGCGAGATGATAGTAATCGATGGTTAGATAAAGAAAGACCTTGAATGACATAGCTCAAAATCGTTTACAATGGCGTAGGTTCATCCACTCGTTGTTTCCTCTCAAACTCTAACCTTCTGAATTCCTCATCATCTCTATCTTTCTTTTTCTAAATTTATCTCACTGAATTATATTTCTTAAATAATTTCTTCTAACCTTTATCTCTCCGATTATTGCTATTTACTTCTACCAGATCTACTACTATGGGATTTGAATTGACGATTACGTCTTTGTGTGCTAATGCGGTATGGCAACTTGAACACTGATGTACGTACGTACGTACGTACAAAGTTCTACGTAGGTGTGTAGGTAGTGGCTACTAACTAGCATTAGAATGCAAGACATGTGCTTTATTTTATTTTATAGTATTTTACAACTGGATATACCTGTGTCATATGAATGCACGACGTTATGATTAGATAGGATAAGTGATTTAGTTAAGGAGAAGATGTTTATTTTATTAGTTTAGTACACTATTTTGTGGCTCTTACCAAGGGCGTCTCTATCATTGTATAAATAAGCCTGATTCATGTGCTTAGCAACCTCATATTTTCTGGTTGCTTGTAGAATACATTGTCTCTACGGCTTATCATCAAGACCTCTTGCTCTAGTTAGTTAGCAGGGCCTGGGGATAATCGGTTTAGAATAGCCTATCGTGTCATTGTATCTGTTGTAACACTTGCCTAAATAATTCTCAGCTAATTCCTATTGTTTAGTATTCTCTGACCACACAATACACTGGACAAGTTCCAAAAGAATCAAAAAGACGGTGGAATAGGAAAAGATTATATTCGGAATATCAAAAGTTAAATGGAAAAAAGAAGCCAAAGGCGAAGGCCAAATATAGATACAACGTTAGTTTATTTATAGCATTTACATGAGAAGCTTCTGGATAGTAGTAATTCACGTGATCGACTACTGTATTAGATTTAGCCAATCAGCATGCAGCTAACAACACGAGAATTTTCTACCCTGTTCTCCAAGAATCGATCAGGCGCTGATTGGATTAGGAAATTAGCCAATCAGCGCGCAGCTAACACAGCCATGCTTTAATTCCATCTTATGTCCCACTATAACAGTATCGTTGCTCTTCATTGTGTTTACCCGAATAAGGTGAACTCGTCGTAATAGCTGGCGTGCACATCATGATTGTTGTTTTAATAGCCGATATTTCTTTCTTTCATTCTATTCAGATTCAAATCACTCGACAGCGTCATCATCATCGTGTTCTAATCGAATGACCAATCATCCATTTGAACTAGACTTGGCTAATTTAGAAATACGTCGTGGTGCTGGTGTCCTAATGACAAAACGACGTTTAGGTGTAGAATTTGCTAGACGCCTGATTAAATTATTCACATCGACTAATCCTAATGAAATTGTCAATTAAGGAGAGAGAGAGAGAGAATGTTTGCTGATTTTACCTCTTTGTACAGATTGATTTGTGTACGATTATTATTCACATTTTTCAATGATTTTTTCGCCAAATAGTTCATGTATGTTTATTGTAAAGGAGATAACAGCTGTGAATACAAGACAATTGTTTTGTTGATATACATGACATGATCGAAGTCTGTGACATTGATAATCAGGATAACCAATAAGAAACAACATTGGATCACGTGACATTGATATCTAGGACGACCATAAAATTGACCAGTAGGAATTGACCAATAATTCTCTTAGGATATTGGATGAATATCCTAACACTTCCTCTGTTGGAATATGGTTTGTTCTCTCCTACGCTAGGTTGTTGCTGGTGGTGTTTGGCCAACGGATCCTAACTATTTCGCGTAGGCAACTGTTTATAAATGGCTGTATTTTACGAATGATGGCTTGCATGGTTCTCCAACTGTCCACCCCCTACAATAGAATTGTCTTGACATTTGTATTAAAAAGTGAGACTTTAGTGTTGGTTGATAAATATTTTGAGTTCTAGATATTGTTCAATTGTGGAAATACCGCTCTTGCTTTGCTAATCCGTTTCTGTACATCTGCATTACGCCTACCTTGTTTGTCAGTGGTGCGCTGCCGAGATGTATGTAAAGGTTTCCACCTATTCGAAAGTTTCTTCATCAAATTTGATTTAGTTGCTGCATCCTCTGTTGTATTGGAGGATCTTATCTTTCCCGATTGTTTATGTTCGGGACCTACTTCTGGTACACTGACCGCCTTCTCCTACATTAGTTATTGTTGTTGTGTGTGTACGCGAGTAGATTGTAAGAAAGCTAGAGGCGGCCAAACCAAAACATGGCAGGAATGCATGAAGTCACTGACAAGTGGACTGAGTCATGTTGATAGATGTAGGCTACCTGGTTGGGGTCCGTGAGACGATAGTCACCGATGGTTAGAGACCTTGAACGACATGGTTCAGAATCGTTCGCAGTGGCGCAGGTGCATCTACTGTTTGTGTTCTATGAAGTTCTAAGCTTCCGTTTTCCTCATCATCTCTACCTTTCTCCTTCTAAATTTATTTCGCTGAATTAAACTTCTCGAATCATATCTTCGCTCCCTAATCTTCTCCATTACTGTTAATACTTCTATTATTGCTATCACTGTTGG